GCCCTGTATGAAGCATGACGTAGCTTGGTACGTAGAGCAATGCTTGAATTTCCAGAAAGTCAAGGTCAAACACTAGTGACCGTACGACAAGAAGAAACCGTTGGATATTCCTGTGTGGAAATGGGAAGATATCACTATGGATTTCATCACGAAGCTTCCCAGGACTGCACGTGGAGTAGATTCGATATGGGTTATCATGGATCGGTTAACCAAGAGTGCTCATTTTATCCCGATCCAGGAGAGTATATCAACTGAGAAGCTAGCCGAGATCTACGTACGCGGGGTAGTGGCACATCATGGAGTGCCAGTTTCGGTGGTGTTAGACCGAGATGTTCATTTCACTTCCAGATTTTGGAAGCAGTTTCATGATGAGATGTGCACTCGTCTTCACATTAGTACTGCTTTCCACCCTCAGACTGACTGGTAGAGTGAAGGGACGATTCAAACTCTAAAGGACATGATGTGTGCATGTGTATTGGTTTTCGGCGGTAGTTAGGATACGTATCTTCCGTTAGTAGAATTTTCGTATAACAACAACTACCATGCTATCATAGATCGACCTCTCTTCGAGATTCTCTACGGGAGGAAGTGTAGGACTCCAATATGTTGGGGCGAGGTCATGAGGAGTACTGAGGTAGTACTCAAGACCACTGAGAGGATCCAACAGGTCCGGAGCAAGCTCCAGACTGCTCAGAGTCGGCAGAAAAGCTATTCCGACAAGCGTTGTTCAGACTTGGAGTTTCAGGTGGGCAACATGGTTCTCCTGAAGGTGTCACCTTGGAAAGGTGTTATCCGATTCAGGAAGTGGGGCAAGCTGGGCCCTAGTTACATCGGTCTATTTAGAGTGTTGCCTCGGGTGGGCCGGGTTGCTTATCGTTTGGATCTTCCAGCATAGCTCAGCCAGATCCACAATACTTTTCATGTCTCCCAGCTATAGAAGTGCTTAGTGGATGACTCCGTAGTCATACCATTAGAGGATATACAGGTTGATATCAGCCGGAACTACATCGAGAGACTGGTAGCTATTCTCGATAAGAAGACGAAAGAGCTGAGGAACAAGAGGGTAGAGTTAGTGCAAGGGCTCGGAGTAGACTTGGGAACCCGAGGAGGAGATGAAGGAGCACTATCCGGAGTTATTTCCAAATGCAGTGGACTTCGAGGACGAAATTTGATTCAAGTGGGGGAGAATTGTAACATCCGTCACTTGAGGTAATAACTATTTAATACCTTTGTATTTAATTGTTTGACTATGAAATAGATAAGTGTATTATTGAGTTAGACCTTAGCAAGTGGGCCGATAAGATTGGGCTACCCGAAGATGTATGCTGGGCGTAAGCTTGGCATATGTGGGGCGTAGTGCAACATTGGATGCGAGGGTTTCATGCATGTACGCGTAGTGTACCAAGGAGTACGCACAACATACATAAGCAAATTCCAAACCCTATTTTTTAGTTTTTAAACCATATAAATACAACATTATGACTCAAACCCTAGCCTTCTTACTACCCTCTCAACCTCATAAACCCTAGATAGCCTCTCTTTCTTCATCCTTGTGTGTTTTTGGCTTTGTGAAGTTCTTAGTAGTGTTTAGAAGCTTGAAAGAAGGGAGAAGAAGTTGAAGAAGAAGAACTTGAGTATCTTAAGCTCAAGGATCCGAGATTACATCAGCATTTGGCACTCATTTGAGGTAAAAAGCTTTAAACTTGCCTCATAAATTCTTAGATCCATGATAATGGAGTTTTGGACCTTTTTAGGTCCCACGAATGGATTTTTATGGTTCAACTTCGCTTCTAAGCTTAGGGTTGCCACCCTTAGTGCTAAATGTGTCCCAATATCAGTAAATGTTCGATCTTTAAGGTCCTTTTGTGACCATGCATGAGTTCTAGCCATTTCTATGGAAGTTAGTTGCTATATTCAAAGTTTGGGCCCATTTGGTGGGTTGCAAGCCACCAAATAGTCGACTTTATGAATTAAGACATGTTAATGGAACTCAAATATGTATTTTGGGCTCAAGGTCTTATCGGATTAAGCACCTTTGATGTATATGGATTAATAGGGAAGTATGCTAGTCGTACAAGCCAGTACGTATGGTATACAAGTCATGTAGCCTGTACGCTTAACGTACAGAGGAGTACGCCCTGCATACTCACTGATTTGGGCTTCACGACATTTAGGCCTCGGTTTGGGCCAATCTTTGGACTACTTAGATTTTAGGACTTAGTGGGCCATCAATAGTCAGTTAATGGACCAAGGACATGTTTGGGCTTAAGGGAAGGCTCATTTGAGGAGTTAGGCCCAATTTAGAAAATTGGCCATTAATGGGCTTGAAAAGATTAGATGGAATTGGGCCTAAGTTATGATCCAAATTAGACCAGGGGTAAAATGGTTATTTTACCCTAAGAAGGATTATGGATTTTTGACTAAGTGTTGTTGGGTTATTGATAGTCGGGGAGTCATTGGAGTAGCCGTTAAAGATTCCTTACCGAGAAATTCTGCAGTCAGCTTTGCAAGGTGAGTTTTCCTCCAGTAGGAACGTGTCGAAGGCACCAATGACGACCCGTTTATGTATGTTAGCATATTCCAGACCAAGGTCGATGTCGGGCAGTTCCTAATGTAGTTGTATATGTGTTTTCGGACTTCGTTCTGATGCTGGGGAAAGCTCGAGGAATGTTTGTATGCTTGATGTCTTCGTGATTCTTGCATGTTCTTGTTTTATGTGTTTTAGTCTGATGCCGGGGAAAGCCCAAGGAATATCCATATGTTTCCAGATCTCGGTCCTATGTCGGGCGGGGCCCGAGGAATGTTTATATGTTTATGTTATGTGTATTCGTTGATATGTTATATGTATACCGAGCTTTGCTCGATGCCAAGCAGGGCCCGATGCCGAACGGGGGCCGATGCCAGACTTCGTTCCGATGCCCAGCGGGGCCCGATGTAGTGGGCAAGGCCTAATGTTATGTTATTATGTGATTATATGATTAAGTGTATGGTATATGGTAGTTTGGTGAGGCTCACTAAGCTTCATGCTTATAGTTTTCAATTTTGGTTTTAGGTATTTCCGGTAGCAAGGGGAAGAGCTCGGGATGATTGCAGTGCACACACCATTTGTTTAGCCTGAGATATTTTACTCTGATATGTTCATTATGTGTTTTGATATGATACTCTGATTTGATACTATGAATTACGATTTTGATAACTATGGTTTTATTTATAATTTAAAAATGAAAATTTTGGACTGTATTTTTGGGGTGTTTCAGTGCTTACGTAATTAAATACTTATAGATACCACTGGTATTATTTATGTTAAATAAAATATTATTGTTGTTAGAATGTAAGACTGATATTATTGAATTGTTTACATAAAATGTATGCAAATATATTATTATGAAACTGAAACAAAGCAAATGATACTGCTCAAGAAAATATATAACTTACACTATTTGTGTCTTGCATTTTCGATACAGTTCCATGTGGTAAATTAAGGAAGTGAACTGGATTGGATTAGAGATCATGTTTATAAGATTCTTTTTGTTAAATTAGTATATCGCACGACTCATGGTATGTTTGTTATTACATTGATTGACTTTTTCTATTTAGAAATCTGAGTACTCATAGAAAATAAATTTTAGGATGACATAATCTTGTTTAGAAATATAAGAAGTCGTTGTAAGAACATAGTTCTTACGTTGGTTGAGTATGTTTTAAGTTTCTTCTTTTGTGTAAACATCAATTGTAGCTACATATATTTTAGAAAAAATGTATCATCACTACATATCTTTATAACTTGAGGTTTTTATTTCAATGGACCGATTTGATTCAATCCGATCAATTAAATCCACATTTATTTTGGTTTCATAATATTGATAAAAGTAGTATACACTAGATTAAAATTTGATATGGACCATTGAATTTTATAATTCGGGTCTTCAAATGTACAAACATTCCAAAAATATATATCTTAAGACCAAATTGATATACCATTCAATCTCATGTATCTCAATCAACTCAAATAAATAAGATTAAAGCATATATTTTTGTTATGAATCGAAACATGGGGCTCGCTAGTTTGCACCCTATATATAATATATAGTTTCCGAGTTTTAGCAAAGAAAAAGAAAAAAAGAAAAAAAGTAAGGAGATAAAAAAAAAAGAAATGAATTGAAAATAAATTGAGAAAATTCATGAAATAACCAAAATTGAGGGGTGTTTTAAAAATTTAACCAAGAAAATTTGACTTTTGGAAAATGACCACAATATCCGCCGATGGGGTTCTGCGGATGATTTTAAACCTCTGGGGAACGATGAATAATATTTAATGAATTGACGTGACATCACTAAAAGACAAAAAATATGGTGAGATCCAATGAGAAATCAACAATTTCACATAGGTGTTGCATGGATCCGCATAGAAGGTTCTGCGGATCTGTCGGAGAGGAGCAACTACCATTTCCTCAGAGAATTTAAACTTCCGCAGAGGGTTAAATGGATCCGCAGGGCCATCTCTGCAGAACCATGCTACCTACCATATATTTTTTTTTGTCTTTTAGTGATTTCACGTAAATTCATCGGTACTAATCATCGTTCTTCAGTGGTTTAAGGTGAACTGCAGAGCCCTTTTTGTAGATCTCGTGGTCATTTTCCAAACCTCAATTTTTTTGGTTATTTCATAAATTTTGTCAAATGAATTTGTCTTTTGTATTTCCGAATTGGAGATAAATGAAAAAAGAATTAAACATTCTGTTATTTCTCTTCAAATCATTCTAAATCGAAAGTAAAGTTAGGGAAAAAAGTGGTTATTCCATTTTCTTCCATTTATTTTTTTTTTAAACTCAGAAACACTAATTTCTTTTACTTTATTCTCACTTTCGTCAATTTTTTTTTTATCACCTTAAGTTGAACTCGGGAATAGGATGGTAAAAAAGGGTCTTTATGTGAATTTCAGAATTTTGAGGGTTAAAAAATGAAATATTTATAAAGTTGAGGGCTGTTTAATGGCCTGCCGTAAAACCAAAGCCCCCTTTTTAATCACTTTCTTCTCTCTCAACGGTCGCTCCGTGTTCAACTCGCGTTTCAGCGAAATCATATAAAGAATTTTCTTCGTGAGCAGCCATCAGTGAAATCGAACTTTTTGATTCTCGAGTTCTAAGTATTTTTCATATTATCTCTTCGATCTCTGTTTTCCGATTTTGTTTGATTTTTTGAAAAGTCTGATTTGCTGTGAATTCACCGTATTCGTCTCGATTTCAAGGGATTCACGAATTGATTTGCTAATCGTACGACTCAAAAATTAAAACCGACTTTGGAAGATTTGATATATCGATTTCGAGTTTAGAAGAAATAAAGGTTGGTTTTTGTTGATTTTGTGAAGAGCGATGTCGTCGTTAACTGTTAGGTTTATGATGTAATATGGCATTGACTCTCACACACTCATACGATGTCGCTTTACATTGGTCGCGAGGCTTCCAAGGTATTATTTCTTTTACACTGTAATTTCCTATAATCATCCCTTTTAAAACAAGTAATTCGTTAATCTAACTTTAATTTTCCATCGTTGTTGATTATTCCTTTAAAAAAGCTTTGGAAAAGAATATGTGCAGAAACTACAACTGAAATCAACCTTCTTCTGGAGAATTGGAAGTATATTCTCGGCGGTTTAATCTGCCAGGTTTTTTATTTCATCTTAATCTCGCTGTTCTTGTTATCTCCAGTTCTGTTGAGGCATCTTGATCCATAGATCAAGTTCAGAGTAGAGACGAACGATATAATAATCTGGACCCTTTTACTCAAATCAGCTTTTTTCTTCCTTGAGTGAAGGCTTTATCAGTGATCTTATGCTAGGATGACAGCATCTTTTTACTTTAAAAACTGTTTGGATTTGAAAAGTTGTTTTTTACTCCATTAATTCCCCACTTTTCTGGCCAATTAAATTTCAAAAGGTGCTTACCATATTCACCAATGATGTTGCAATATTGGCGATATATTGATAGTTAAATCTTCCTGTTCTATTTGCTTAACTCTCATATCAACACAATATTCTTATTATATTTCATTTTGGAACAACTTTTTTCAGTACATTCATGGGCTGGCAGCTCGATCAGTTCATTATTTTCATCATCCAGGACCAATTCTACAAGACTCCGGGTTCTTACTTCTTCCTGTATGTACAACTCAAAGCTCGGATCTTTCTTTATTCACAAAACACATTCTTCATGTCTCTAAAGTGCTAATGATCATATATATAATTATGTACCCTTTATTTTTCTTGAAGGAACTTGGGCAGGAAAGAGCATATGTCAGTGAGACAGTATTCACCTTTGTCTTCCTTTCCTTTGTCCTGGTAATTATTCTTTCCATTTAATGTTTTTGTAAGCTCTAATTACTTTGCATTTATGTTTGTTGTATGTACATTTTGTCCTCATCTTTTGTACTGTTTGACTTTTCTTCTTCTCCAGTGGACTTTCCATCCTTTCATATTCAAAAGCAAAAAAATATACACAGTTCTTATTTGGGTCAGAGTCCTCGCGTTTCTAGTTGTAAGTGGCCTTCTGTACCTTCATATATACATATACACAGTTTCACAATAAACTCTTATTATTATTATTATTATTTCTTTTTTGTGTAATAAGCTTGAGATATTTTAATCTTTTCCCCTTAACTTTTGCAGGCTTGTCAATTTCTTCGTATCATTACATTTTATTCAACTATACTCCCTGGCCCAAACTACCATTGCCGTGAGGTATTTAACTATTTATCATTTTAACTTTCTATTTTATTTACTAATCATCAAAATATTTAAAAATACACTCAAATCCAGTATTAAATTTCACTCATATGTTTGAAATTTATCTTGCACAATTTCAGGGCTCACGTCTTGCAACACTGCCTCGTCCAGATAATCTTCTTGAAGCTTTTGTAATTAGTAAGTTTTATTCTTTCTCCCATTTTTATTTTTGGCTAAAAAGTATATATACATATACTTTTTATAAATATTATCTAAACTTGCAGTTCCCCGAGGTGTTCTTTATGGTTGTGGTGATTTGATATTCTCATCTCATATGATATTTTCTCTGGTATTTGTTAGAACATATCAAAAATATGGGTCCCGGAGGTAATGTTAAAAACTTAACTTAACTTTATCAAATATCAACTTTATAACTATTTTTTTTTTTTAAAATTCTTTTTTGTTTCCTTATTGTAGATTTATAAAACAGTGTGCATGGCTAGTAGCTGTGGTTCAGAGTTTATTAATAATAGCATCTCGTAAGCATTACACAGTCGATGTCATTGTAGCATGGTAAAATAACACTTCATTAAACCTTTTTATATTTCTTCATCACATTTTTTTATTTATTAATTTCATCATGTAATAAGTTTATAAATTTTTTACCACAGGTACACAGTTAATTTGGTTGTGTTCTTTGTTGATCACAAGTTACCAGGTTTAGTATAACATAAACAAATATATTCTTTTTATTGTAATGTTTTATGTTTTTTATTAATTTTAATATTTATTTTCAGAGCTGCCTGATCGAAGTCTAGGTGGACTTGTGTTACCTTTGAGCAAGGATGGCAGAATGAAAGAAGAAGGGACTAAACTTATGAATGGAAACTCTGGTGATCCTGTAGATCGGGTATTACAAATTTATAATTATAAACATTAAAGTTTGTTGAAATTTTTTTTTTGTTATTTCATTTTTTTATTTTTTAGTTAAGTGGTTGATTTTTTATAATGTTGGTGATACAGAGGTCAAGAAGTCAAGCAAATGGGAAGGTGAATGAAGAAAGTGATAATGTACACGTGGATGTATTAGATGGTGCATAGTTGATGAAACAAAGTTTCTATTCTGCCATTATGACTTGATATGTTGACTTTTCTTTGGTAAAAAGTCAATGATGGTAAAAAGAACCCTGATTTGTATCTTTAAGAAACTTTGAATTTGGGTGGTTGTGTTTTTCATAGTGTTTTATGAAATAGGTGTTGATGTATTCATTTTGTTTTGTAGATTTTAGAGTACCCAAGTTGTATTATGAGTTATGGAATTTGGATTTCTTTATTAGCATTTTCATGTTCCAAGTTATAACTAATTACTTATTTTACTTTTAATTGGGAAAATATCAAATTGTATATGGTTCTCATGGTATCTTCTTGTCACTTTGAACATGTCCAAAAAATACTGTAATCTTTCTATATCTATATTGTAGAAACTTTGAATCTGCAACACAAGTGAGAAACCTTCCTTCATGTTTTTGTTTGATAAACAATACATGCCCATGAGGAGTTATTGCTAAAAAAAAAAAAAAAGGATGGAATGGGCTTCACTTCGTACAATAAGTGCTAGTATCATTCATATTGTATACCTTGCTACAATGCAAAAAAAAAAAAAAAAAAAAAAAAAAAAAAAAAAAAATCATGAAAGTCAATATTGTAAGGTATTTTAGCACATTTGATACCATAAGGTATTTTAGCATTCAAGTTTACGTTCTTAGTAGCTTTCGGCACTGATTGTACTTTTTCAAACTTAGAAGGTTTGAATGTTTCTTTTTCTAAATACGGAATTTGTCTAAGGAGGGGTTTTCTCTTTCCCATAACATGACCTCAAATAGGAGAATATGGAGATTAAAGATCATAGTAGACGGGTAGCCTTGCTCCCGTGTATGTTTTATTATTATTATTATTATTTTATATATTTAGGCTAAATCTGATTTACACTCAATGTTTGCCTTTTTTACATGTTGTTAGTTACGCATGTTGGAGGTCATCTATTCGATACAGTTCTTTAATCCCATATGGAAACACAACTGTCAACATCTAACTCCCCTACCCTATCTCAATAGGATATCTAGGGTTTGTTGTTGTTGTGTTATTTTCTGTTAAGGTAAAATTTCCAGAATTATCATTACATAAGTTTTTTGTGTGAATCCACTCCTATCCAAATTAGGAGTTCATTATTTATCAAGTCACCCTATTATATAGGAATGTTCCCCAATTATTATGCACTAAACTCTATAAAATCCAATGGATTGTTCCATGAAACGTTATCCTACAATGTATTGAACTTTACAAAGTTCAATGAAATATTAGGAAAGTTAATTTATAATATTTATAACTCCATGTGTTGTTTCCCATGTATGTTTGTCAATTCTTTAATCAAAGGCATCCCATGTACCATATGATTTTTGGACGTGACAAAACGCTTATGCCAAAGATAAGAAACATTTTATGTTCATGTATTAAGAGTTGCTATGCAGTTCATCTAAGGTAAGCCGTAAACGTATCCAAATTGTTTGGATTTTTCAATTGAACACAATGCAACTTAAACATGAGCGTTATTGAGCTTATATACTTCTCCGTAATTAGATTCTCCTAAACAACTTCTTCATAGATGGGCTTCGAATTTCTCGCTTAAACAAGTTCCATATATGATAATTTTAGGCCTTTAAGACAATTTGAAAGAATACGAAATGTGGACACTGGACACTCACATTTAGTTGCACATTTTCTTTCTAACTCTACATTTAAAATTATATTTTTGGCCCGATTGAAGGCCCAATTGTGGATCCCAATATTCAAAGAATATTTCTATTATTCAAGGATCACAAATGAGTGGTAGATAGCTGGGTCCCATCTTCATACACCCCTTCACCAGCCTCACATTTCCATATCCCAATCTAAACTTTTAATAAAAATACTTTACAAAATAAAAAAAATAAAACACAAATCTTCGCCTTCTGAACGCAGCCATGGCAGCAACAACATCTTCAAACCTCCTTCACTTCTCCAGTTCCCACTCAACTTCACGCCTATCCCCTCTCAAAACCGCCCTCTTTTCATGCTCCAAGAGAAAGCTTCCGGTGGCCGGTGGTGGTGCCGCCACCACCACAGGAGGAGTACGGTGCATGGCGGTGGCAGCAGAGGCGGCGTCCGTAAAGAAGACGAGTTCTTATCAGATAATGACATTGACAACCTGGTTGTTGAAACAAGAGCAATCTGGAATCATCGATGCTGAACTTACCATCGTCTTGTCCAGCATTTCAATGGCTTGTAAACAGATCGCATCTTTGGTGCAGCGAGCCAGCATCTCCAACATGACCGGAGTTCAGGGAGCTGTTAATATTCAGGGAGAGGATCAGAAGAAGCTCGATGTCATATCCAATGAGGTTTGTTACGTCACTGTGTCACTGTCACTAGTACTGTACTTTTTCGCAAATCATGTCTCAAATTGATCCCAATACATTTAGACAAAAATAATATAATAAGTAGAGTAAATTTTTGCTTGAGTTTTAACTGGAAGAAGTTTACAGTGACTTTTTATTTATTTATTTATTTTGCGTCACTTTGGGAAAACAGGGTGTTGCGAATTTTCACAAATGAACAGTTCTTCAAATCTTGTATGAAATGATGAAATAATTATATGATACCTAATCGGATACTTCATTTAGTGATACATTCATCAATTTCCACTTGAATTGGAAAAAAGAGTTGGGTGTTAACTAGTTGAAAAATGTGGTGGATTCAACAGGTGTTTTCCAATTGTTTGAGATCGAGTGGAAGAACTGGGATTATTGCATCGGAGGAGGAGGATGTGCCGGTGGCGGTGGAAGAGAGTTACTCCGGCAACTACATTGTGGTGTTTGATCCTCTTGATGGATCATCCAACATTGATGCTGCTGTTTCAACTGGTTCTATTTTCGGAATCTACAGTCCAAACGACGAGTGTCTCCCTGATCTTGACGATAACTCCACGGTAACTTCCCGATCAACTTGACTTTTAAGTCAAACAGATTCCAATCAAACGCAGAATGTTGGTTCTTGAAGTGAAAATAGATGTTTGAAACTAACAATAGACATTAAATCTTGTATATGCAGCTGGACACCGAGGAACAGAGGTGCATCGTGAACGTATGCCAGCCCGGAACCAACCTTCTGGCAGCCGGTTACTGCATGTATTCAAGCTCTGTCATCTTCGTGCTCTCCATAGGAACCGGCGTTTATTCATTCACATTAGACCCAATGTATGGTGAGTTTGTTCTGACTCAAGAAAAGATCCAAATCCCGAAATCGGGTAAGATTTACTCGTTTAACGAAGGAAACTATCAACTATGGGATGACAAGCTCAAGAAATACATGGATGACCTAAAGGACCCTGGTCCTACCGGAAAGCCTTACTCCGCCAGGTATATCGGTAGCTTGGTCGGTGATTTCCATCGGACGCTTTTGTACGGAGGAATTTACGGTTACCCTCGGGACAAAAAGAGCAAGAACGGGAAGCTTAGGCTCTTGTATGAGTGTGCTCCGATGAGTTACTTGGTTGAACAGGCCGGCGGAAAGGGCTCCGATGGGCATCAACGAGTACTTGACATCCAGCCGACTGAGGTTCGTAAATCGTAGAACAATGTACATGTGTTTATTTTGACTTTTCAATTAGTCAAACACTCACCAAATTTTTACTTTCTATTTGCAGATTCATCAACGAGTTCCTCTATACATTGGAAGCGTAGACGAAGTGGAAAAACTGGAGAAGTATTTGGCTTAAATATGAAAAACTAAATCCAAATTTTTTTATTTTCCTTTACGTGTTTCAAACTTATAAGATTGCCTTTGCTTCAAATCAAACGTTATCAATACAAGGAAAGGATCAACTTTTTATTCTATATAATAATTGCACAAACACCCACACACACATAATAAAGATTAAAGACGGACGTTTTCAGTTAAATTTCTTCTAGCACTTTGGCAAGTCCGCCGGTGGCGGTGGCACCGTCGAGTCCTCTGTCCCTCCGTTTTCAACCACAAACGCGGTGGCAAAACCCAAACCCAAGTGTACGTCCAGATGACAGTGCATGATCCATACACCTGTAAATTGTAAAAACGAATATATATTAAATAACTAAAAAGTGAAAAGGTACCACTAATTTCGGCCGGAAAGTTTATATTCTACCTGGATTATTTGCTCGGAATCTCATCACCACCCAACCGCCGACAGGCACACCGATAGTATTCCGTTGTTGTGGGTTCACAAGATTAAACTTTTTCCTGTCTTTGACGGGGTCATAATTGCCAAAACCTTGAGCCAACACGAAGAAGTTATACCCATGCAAGTGTACGGGATGGTTCTGCATTCCGATCAATGCAGTGTTCTGAAACACAATCTCCACCGTCGAATTATACTTTAGTTTCTTCACGCTCGTTGATTTGGGTGTATTCAACAGGGCTTGATTCAAACTATTGTTGACGTTGGTGTAATCGAATTTCACCGGTGGTTCATTAGGGAAGTCCGGCGTATAGATCCCACTAACGTTGAAGAAATGAGCTTCCAAGATTGACAATTTGGTCGGAAGCACGAAGGAGTGGTTGTTCATGCTAGCGGAAAACCGCTGCCCGAGTGGGCCTCCACAAGTTTGGTTTGATGATTTTGTTCCACTTGCACATGATGATATCCCTAGCCCTATCGTAATAAACATGTTTTCATCTACTTTCTGTGATACAGGGTGCCAAAACGGGCTTTGTATGAGGCATGTTAGATTGCTCATAAACTTAAATGCGGTTGGGGTGTCGTTGAAAGGCGGCATGTCCGGGAGGAGTGGCGGCGGCAGCAAGGTGGTGGTGGTGTTTCTGTAGGTGAGGATTGCGGTGGTTGTGCTGTTGTTGAAAGTGCGACCAGTTCCACTAATGTACGCGCGGGCAGCCATGTAATAGGATCCCGGTGACTGGTCAGCGGTCAATAGGACATCAGTTGTTTGACCGGGACCCACTACAACAACATCTGTAGGATATGGATTTGTGTAGACTGCGTCCGCCGCCACTACCGTCATGCGGTGGTTGGCTACCTTGAAAAACATTTGGGTGTTGAGGGCGGCGTTGATTATACGTAACATATATGTTTTCCCTTGAACAACTTCCAAAGTGTGTGTATCTGAAATACAATTAAACAAATGATTTAACTTTTTATAAAATTAATACTGATTAACGATTAATCGACTTACTTCTTGAAGGACAAGAATATAAATCCCCAGGCCACCCATTGATGGTGTAAGCGATAGACTTGTTAGCTGCGCCACCGGTGGCTATGGCGGCGTTCTCTACATCAATGGGGTTAGCATTCCACCATTCTCCTACAACATATATATCCATAAGTAAATTTAGATAAAACTACGCATTTCACCGTATATAATATATGATACACAAAATAAAATAACTAAAATGTACCAATGATGATTGTATCTTCTTGAAAGGGCTTAGGAAAAGGGTATTCTTGTCCATCTCTTGGTCGGATGACTAGTGCCCCATAGACAGTTGCCCGGAGCCATTGTACATGGGCGTGCCACCATAGTGTTCCTTCTTGGCCGGTGATGTTGAACCGATAAGTATAGCTATTCCCCGGCATGATCGGGCATTGGGTGATGGAGCTGGGACCATCAGCCCATGGTGTCAACCTCTGAAATATTCCATGCCTGTATTAAATTAATAAAATAGCTAGATATTATTTGAAAATAAGTAAAATAGCTATATATATATATATATATATATATTATATATATATATATATATATATATATATATATATATATATATATATATATATATATATATATATATATATATATATATATGTGTGTGTGTGTGTGTGTGTGTGTGTGTGTGAGAAAAAATACCAGTGAATTGTAAGGTTATAAGGAGACTTGTTAAAGACATGAACAACTATCTCATCACCCTCTTGAACATTCAGTGTTGGTCCCGGAAGGCTTTCATTGATAGCTGTTATCACTTGTCTTTTACACAATCGGTTTACAGTCAAAATTTTCACCTATAATTATTGTACATGTCACTTGTTAGTACAATTTCTTAAATTCGAATAAACGTTCGATTGAAATTAGATCATCTAAATGGTGGACTAATGGTCCAACTCATGAAGAAAAAAATATATTTACATGAAGTCATTCATAATATTCAACTCCTATAACAAAAGCACATTTGCACATATACTTGGCAATTTTTATTTTTTATAAATTATAATTATACGAGATGTAAGAATTATATGTAGGAAAATTAATAAAATTTATATATGTTTACTTAGCTTTGGACACATTTAAATATGTTGTACATATAGTTAATCATTATTGGATTGTGTTTTGTAATTTGAGAGCTTCATAATGATATGTAGGTGGTGTTGGTTTTTTATCTACAAATTTTTTTGGCCTATTTTGTCTCTGTCGTTCAAACCACGCGTAAATATTAGTCTTTACAGACTATTTGCTTTTTAAAAGTCCGCAAACCTAAAAATGTATGTGGATCCTCTTTTTGGCGTATATGTAGACTAGACTCTTCTAATTTCTTCGGACATCTTCTAGCCTAAAAAAACGCATATTTTTGTTTTTTTGAAATCAAAACTTATAATTATTCCAACTTAGTATAAGATAAACAATTTGGGACAAAAAGTGACAATATTTAAAGAAAAATGGTTTGATAACACAACAATGCCTTTTGAAACAAATTTATAAATAAATATTTAATTACAATGGTTGTTTGAGCTATTATATAGGTTATAAAACAATCATAATATCGTCTAGTACTTTTTGATTTTGACATCCAAGTGTATTTTCATTCATTTTATATGTTAAGTTCTTTAATGCTTAATTACACTTTTTAGTTAAAAATTTATGACAAAGGCTTGTTAATTAGTTTTTATCAAATATTTCTGTTAATTTGTAATATTTTATTTTCATTTTTTATATAATAATATATAAAACTTGATCTAGAATTGTTAACTATTTATAAAAAAAAAATCATAAAATTATTGAAAAACTCTTTTAAGTTTTTAACAAATCAATTTATTTAAATTTTAGTTTATTTTAACAGTATATAAACTTTAAATAACAAAAAATTATTTTTAGATTATAGATGTTTGATCCATCACTTTTACTACAAGATGTGCAAATATGGTCTATAGTCTGTAATTTTCTAAAAAAAACATATTGTTTTTATACCACTGAAATATAATTTACACAACCACACTAATAAAAATCTGAAATATATAAAAAAACATAATAAAAAAAAACGTGAGTAATTATATATAAAGTGAACATGCCAGATTATACTATATCAAGTTTAACATGATTATTTCTAATAAATTAATTATATAGCTTAATAACTTTAACGAGATACTATTACAACAAATGATCTTTATTTTTAATAATTAGTTATATGATTTTTATATAATAAATTAATTATATAAGTTTTATAAGCTTATTTCTAACAAATCAATTATACGAGTTTCATTGCAATTTTTAATTGAAAATAAAACGAGTGCTGAAAGTTTTTTTTGGGTGTGCGAAGGATACATAGGAAAAAAAACAACATAAATGGTCTATGTGGTTTCTTTAGATTTGAAGTTTAGTCCTTATAATTTAAAAATTGATGTTTATACGTGTATTACATTCAAGAAAAAGGTTGATGTGGATGAACAAAAAATTGCTTGTTCAGTTGAGATCATAATCATGAAGTGTAATTTGCTTTTTCTTTCTAATCTTAGTGACACTCTTAATGGTACAATTCCCTCTACTTTGAGTTTGTTATCACATTTTTTAGTTCTTGATCTATCCAAAAACTCACTTACTCGTTCAATCCCCATTCAACTCAGGAATCTGGCTAGTTTGATTGTCCTTGATCTGAGTTCAAATTCGCTTTTCTCGAATTGTCTTCTTAGAATTTGGGAATTTGAAGAATTAAAGAGAATGATGATTCGTAACAATAACATCCCATGTGATCTTCCAGATGCCTTATATTCACTAATTGTTTTGATTTTTCTTGATGCATCTGATAATAACTTTATGGGTTCTCTACCAAATCGTAACTTGAACCCTAATGTCACCTTTTGCTCTTGATTGAAACTTCCTTTGCCATGACTCATTGGAAAAAAAATGAAACAATGGAGGCTTTATTCCTCGCCGATCGCTTGTGGTTATATTAATTGTGCATATGATGTTGGAAGAGAGTTTGTGAGATCTATGGAGTATGATGTTATACTAAAAGGACTTTTTTGGATAGGGAAACGAGAGATCACAAGCTGAATCGGGCCACTAAGGCTTTAGGTTATCTCCGATTATGAATTTATAGAGAGAGAGAGAGAGACTCTTTTATATTAAATAATTTTTTTTCTTTTTTATTTATTAAAATAATGATAAACTTCATAAATAGTCATTGAGATATTAAAATGACGAAAATACGCTTCGGTTAACAAACAATAAATAATAGAGTTATCAATAATGACTAATCGTCAAAAAATTTAAAATCACATAGAACATCTATAAAAATTTTAAACTATGTGGACTAAACTCCAGATTGGAAGAAACCATATAAATCATTTATGATATTTTTTTTTTAAAAAAAACAAGATATATATTCAACTATAAATAAGTCGATCCTTAAAAAAGGGGATTCTGGTTTATATTCAATTTTTTCTTAAAGTAAAAAAGTTTAGTTTTTGATTTTTATTTGTTTAAAAACTGAATAATTTATGTCCATCAAATGAAAATCTTTCATAAAGTTTATTTATCTAAGTTGTGGCTATGTTTTCATACAACTAATATTGGGTGAAGAATAAAATATAATTGAATATCTAATAAAAATATTAATTTTTTAAAAATGACAAAGATTAAAACATTAAATGTGTTTAAGGAAGTAAATTAAAATTCTACCTAATAAATGAAAATATTTTTACCACATATCATTCTCTCTTTCATTTTGACAAATATCATTTTCTAGGATTTTTAAATTTATTATTTTCCACTTTCATTTTTGGGGATCTCAACTTTCTTAAAATAAATTTCCAAAAAAATTCTAATGGGTTATATATATATATATATATATATATATATATATATATATATATATATATATATATATATAAATAAGGTTATCATTCTATTAATTTGATAATAAAAATTCTCATAAATGCTCCAAACAATTTGATTTCTTTCATAAACGCTCCAAAAAATTACATTTTGTAATGGAAAAACATTATCTTATAAAACATTTAATGTTTATATATATATATATATATATATATATATATATATATATATATATATATATATATATATATATATATATTCATATTAAATTTTTATTTTTAATAAACCCGTGTAATACACGGATTTCACACTTAACTTAATGTTTTTTATTCAATGAGTTTAACTTAAAGAGTAAATTACTGAAATGGTCCCTATGGTTTGGTCAAAATTACACGTTTGGTCCCTTCTTTTTTTTTTTTTTTTTTTGCAATTGGATTGTCCTTGTGGTTTGATTTTGTTGAATTTTTCGTCCCTTACATACATAAAGTTAGGGACCAAACATACAATTTTGACCAAACCATAAGAACAAAAATCACACTAAAATCAAACAACAGAGACAATCCGAGTAAAAAAAGTTAGGGACCAAAAATATAATTTTGACCAAACCATAGGGACAATTTCAATAATTTACTCTAACTTAAAACACGAAAGTAGTATATACTTAGAAAAATCTATAAATGATTGTTGTAAAACAAGAAAAAGCTTCGGATTAAAAAGAAAGAAAGTTTGTATTTATCGAAGATGTTTATTAATTTATTGTGGTTTATTAGTTTTAATAGATATTTTTAATTTTTAATATGGTTACATTACAATAAAAAAAATATTTATTGACATAGATAAACACTTGTATACACTTTAATACTTTCAACGATTTAACAAAAAGTGTTAATTTTTTTTACAGTAAAATCTTAATTACCAACAATTTTTGACACTTACATTTTTTTACCGGTTAAACGGTAATTAGAACTTTAATGTCAAAAATAAAGTTTATTATTTTCTTATCAAATCATTGAAAATATTCGGATTTTAGTGTATAGTCTTAGTTTCCCTAGAAACAAATAATTTTATCAGTCCCGTGAGACCTAATTCGTAACCCAAGAATTTTTAATTGTGATTTTCGTCGCAATATTATTGTTTTTCTTACAATCATTATCTTTACCCCGCTACAATCACGATCAAGGAAACAGATGCAAAATAGAGAACAAAAGAGGGTGAGAATACTTGTAAAACTTTCGTTTTGGTTCGTCGACAAATTTTGAACTGAAAAGAGGGGACAAATTGTCCAAACACAAACAACCCATGTCTAGACAAATGTAGGGGTGAGCATCGGAATCCGTTACTCGCTTTCGGAACCGGAACCGCCTCGGCACTAACGGTTCCGAAATCAGAACCTTCTTATTTTTTTATTAAAATTTCGAAGTTAATCATTGTGGTTTGCAAATACATATACAAAATAACTTTGATAGCTGTATTAAATCAACATATTTTCACACACCACATCACCAACCACCTAATTTTATCCAAATTTATCACGTTAACCCAAATATTAGTTCATAGCAATTTGTTTAACAGTGTTTGTTTGATGGAGGTTTTCAAGAGTTTTTATTATAAAAGTTGGTAGCGTAAGAAGATTTAAAAATTCAAATGGTACGGAAGGAATCATAAAAATGGAAGAGCTGGAAACCTTTATTAAGGAAATTTGTAAATCAATCCCGTGAACGCGGATTACAATTGGTTGATGAATATACAATATGATATAAAATAAAAATATAATTTATTTTAAATTAGTTATCTTTTCAACTATATTAAACTTTAATTTTAAATCTAATATATATCTTGATTTATTTGAATTTTAAAAACTATATTAATAGAGAAAAATTTGTGAATAAAAGATAAAATTTTGAACTGATATTCTAAAAAAAACGGACATGTGACGTACACTAGCTCTGTTTCAATTAGTGTTGTAACATTGGTATTTAATATTATTAAAAGGAATTGACAAATTGTCGGGTAGCTATACTTTTTTGGTTTGTATTTCGCTTAACTCTTTCAAGTATCATTCATGGAAAAATTATCAAAATTTTTCTATTTTTGTTTACAGCTTCCTAATAGACACGTATATTTTTCAAATGGAAAAAATATATTAAAAAGACTTAAAACAACCGGGTACCCGGTACCAGAGTCAGTTCCGCCGGTTCCGATTCCAGTTCCAATATCTCAAAAACCGCCGATTCCCTTTCTAGAAAATTAGGACGAGTACCCACCTAAGCTCATTCCTAGTCAAAAGGATGTGAATGTGAAGAAGATGTAAGAATGGTGGTTTTGTCTTTTCCGGTTTCTTAGTTCTCCATTTATAGCACTACGAAAAACTAACACAACTATGGTTCTTTCTTTCTATAACATCTGTGTTTCCCAGGTATTTACCTTTTTAAATTATGTATTAACTTCCTTTGCAAAATGGTCCTACACAGGGCGTAGGATTACCTTCTACGCAGGCCATATGAGGGATTAAGGATACGAGGGCTTAATACTCTACATATGGCGTATCAATCCCTGCGATGGCATAGGTGCGCTGGTTCCAAACCTAAATTTTTAAGGTTGTGACCTTATTTAAAGACCTTAACTCCCTTAAGGCCCTCTCTAACCTTAGCCTCCACTCTTCTAATCAGTTATTTTGAAACCTTAATATTCCTGAGCAAGTTTTGAGTCTCTTTTATTTTATTTTATGGTGGATCTTGAAGAAGGAGGAGTCCACCCTTGGAGTATGGTGAAGCTCAAGATTGTAGATCCAGAATCTACATTGCCTTGTTAAGCTCTTGAAGGTATAAAGCTTGCTCTTTGCTAATTCATATGATAGATCTTGTTAGTTCTTGGGTTTTCATGCCATTTTGTCCTACAAGTTTGGTCCTTACGAGTAAAAGCTACTCCAGACCTCATGGTTGCCATTTTGTGGTGTTTATGAGGTTATTAAGTCATAAAAATGGGATCTTGGCTGGTTCCATTCAACCATGCATGCGTTTTTCATACATTAGAAGATGTTATATGTCCAAGGCTTGATTTTGAGCTCCATCTAGCCATGCGAATGCATAAATTTGAAGACTTTATCACTTAAGACTTTATTTGGGACCAGATCTGAGAGTTGGACATTTAGTCCTTGTGGATTAAGGACTTATTGAAAAAGTTGGCAAACAACATTTGTATGCGGGGCGTAATCTAGGCTATGTAGGGCATAACCTGATTTTGTACTGATTCCAATCCACGACTCTATGTTGGGCGTAGAGTCTGGTATGCATGGCATAACCCCGAAGTGGATTTTTGGTCATTTTAGATTATAAGCCAAATTGAGTGGATTATGGTTGTGGAAGGGTAAAAACGTCTTTTGCCCTGAAAGTGAGAGCAATTAGGAACTAAGACCCTTGAGTATGGATTATTATGATTTCTAATTAGGGTTTTATGTTGTGTTATGAAGTTTGGGGAGTTCCAGCTTAGACCGCTCGGGTGTGAGATTCGTTATCTGATTTTAGATTTAGGTGAGTCTTCTTACTGTACTTGTGAGTCGAATGCACCAATACTGACCATTGGTTTGCGATAACTGTCTTTGTGACTCTTGCATGTTTATATTGGGTCAGACCTATTTGTATGTTGGGCTGGGCCTATTTATTATCGGGCCGATCCAGTTTGTTATATGTTGGGTTAGGCCCATTTGCTTGGTATGTGGTATTTTAGGAAAAAACTCACTAAACTTTGTGTTTACGGTTTTTGTGGTTTGATATTTTCAGGTACTTCCAGATCGAAAGGGAAGAACCCAACGTCGCACAACATCCCTTTTGATTTTATTCTGCATTCATATTTGATTTTACTTTCATGTTGAGGATAACTTATACTTGGGTTGATTAAAACAATTTTATTGTATTTTTGGGTATTTGGAAAATAAAAAAATTTATCACTGTTTTCGGGATGTTACGCTTTCTTACTTTATTATCTTCATTTTGTCAATGTGGATTTGCGAGATAAAAAAACTATTTAACAAGAAGTAAACGTTAAAGATTTTAATAGG